AATGTGTGTGTGCATATCTAATGTACATAGAGGGCAGGAATTAACCCACAGCCCCCAAGGCATGAGGCTACTCTGCTAATTGAGTCACCCCGATGACCTTCTCATGACACGTTGCCATAAATAGGATTAAGTATATCAGATGGAGCCTTTAGTTGAATACTGATCTGTTTATTATTGAAATTGCCATGAATGTATTTCATCATTATCATTTGTGACAGTGGCAGCTTTCATTGTGGCTTTGCTCTCGTGAGTGACGTGACGTCCCCACACTGTCGAAGCTCGGCCTCTTTTGCACATTGGGCCGGCTCACGCTGTCAGTCACATCCCGTGTCGTCCAAACGCGCATCTTTTACAGCCCTGACCCATTAGTGGGAGGCTGTAGCTGAGGTCTCCGCTAGTGTGAGAGTCTCTGAGGGTTTTCCTTAGCAGCTTGGGGTCGTTGGGGTTTAATGCTTCCTCTCTATTAACCGTGTTCCGTGTGAAATGACCCGGCCGATACCCCAGCTGTCGTGGAGATGATCTGGTCCATCGAGGGCGTTTTTCGTGGTGCCGCTTTCCGGGTCAAAGTGGGCTTCCTGCAGGTAGGAATCGAGTGAAAAGGCTTCCCCTTGTGCCTCGCATCCCTGAAATCCATCCTGCTCCCAGACAGGCTGTCCAGCTGAAAACCCAAGACGTTTGCAGTGACTCCTAGTAATTAAGACGGGATTTCCTCACTCACTTTCAAAGTACGTACGCTGGTCTCCATTTGTCAGGTTGCTGTTTATTAGATGGAATATTGAAGGATTGATTACGAGGGGTTGTTCTCTTGCTATGGGAAACCAATGTACAGCCATATCTATCCAGTGATCCAGTGAAAGGTTTGGTTTTCTGAAAGTTTTTGCCCCTCAGTGAAATTTTAATATCATTCGCTTCCTCTGGGAAATTTCCTTTCTCAGTCTTTGTAAAAGTGTCTTTGTTAAATTACTGTTAACATGGAGTGTGGAGATGATGAATGCAAGCAGTAAACATAAACGTATGTGGTGGTGGTTGGACCAAGATGCTGAATGAAACTGGTACTATGGGGAGAGGCTGTGGGCACGTGATTTAATGGGGGGGGGGAAGGGGGCTGAAAGGAAAAGGCCAGAGATGTAAAAGGGCAGTTGGGCTTGTGACGACTTTTAGGCTGAAGTCACAATTTGTATTTATAGTGCAGTGGTCGAATCACATCCTGAGATATTAGCGTGAAAATGACAAAATGTCACTGCAAGACCCTGGTGGGATCTGCTTTTCGGACCCAAAGCAGATGAGATTACATACTGTTAAGGTTACATTACAGAGTGGGGACTGGTATATGCTAGAGGCATAATATAATCTCAAAAATCCCTTTTATGTGGATACACAACCTAGATAATGAACACAATTAAACATACGTGCAGTAACACGCATTTGTGTTCCCCAGGCTTTACCTATGGTTAATGAATTGTATAAATTACAATAAGCTTTAATACTGTCATTCATAGTTTTTGACAGGGCATAACAATGTTGTGATTGCTTTTGATTAACAATGAATATTGGCAACAGCAATATAATATAATGATTTCAGACTCCCTCAGTCTCCTCTCTTGTTTTGCCTCCTGTAATGAGTACATGCCCATTTCCCCAAACATACTATGTGTTTTAGCTGCAGTTTACATAAGCTGAATAATACGGACCATGAGCTGAATAATATGGACCCAGCAGAACAAGGCATCTCTATGATGGAAAGTTTTTATTCCTGTTCTGAAATGCCCCCCCACTGTTATGCTGAGTCAGGTTTCCGTTGCCCAGAGGTGGGTTTTTGTGATTTATTTATTATTATTTTTTTGCTGGATATATATGTGTGTGTGTGTGTAGGGGTGATGTTGCACATTCAAATCGTAGGTGTGAGTGTTGGTTGTTTATTGGGATGTACATTTTGTGTGCATGTCTGTGATTTTTGTATGCATGTTTATGCAAGTGCTGTATTGTGTGGGTGGGGTTCTGACGTTTGCTTTGTCCGGTTGGGTCACTCTAGGCAGTTTTCCTCCTCCATGCCAGGGACCAGGGCTTTGCTGTTAGAACTGGCTCTCAATTTGGAAACCTGAGTCACAGCAGTATTGGGAGAATGAAGCAGGAAGCCGGGACAAATTGTGGGTGTAAATCCTGGTATTACCACAGGCAGAAATGGATGGTAGCAGTATGCTGGGTATGATGGGCCACTAAAGCACACGGTCTCGCTGATAATCTGTGTCCTGTCAACAATTTCTGTGTTGTGACCCTATAACTGTTTTTTAAAAGGACAAAGCTGTGAATTATGTTCCACGGTGTCACACTAAACTGTAGTAAGCTTTTGTGAAATGAACCATTACACCTTTGTCCACACAGTTGCTGGATGCTTTGACTGCTCTTCTATGAAGTCATCACAAAGCAAGAGTGAGAAAATATGGAGGATTTGCTGTAGATATAGTTTGAATCTCTGTCCCTCCCCTCCCCCCAGGTAAACTCACTTCAATGCTTCAGAGCCATAGATATCCTCATATCTTTTGCTCACCTTGCACCTGCACCCCTCCTAGTCAGATACAGGTCCGCGACCTAGCACTGAAGTTGTGGGCACCTCTGAACATGCTGTAGTCCTCATTATCACTGGCTGTGATATTTGTCACAAGGAGCCAGATGGTGAAATCTGCTGGCTAATACTTCAGCTGCCACTGATGGTTTGGTAGGTGGATCGATATCTTTGTCATTGTAATTAAACAATTAAATTTTGTTTGGCACTTTCTCCCAGGCAGACTAATGTACAAAATGTATATAAATAGAATAAGCATATAAAAGACAACTAACAAACTGAAATAGTAAAATACACAACATAGTACAACAGTGAATATTAGTCCTGAGTCAGCCACGCCTTCCCCATCAGTCTTAGACAGTGGCGGGGTTACGACGGTAACGGCTCTTGGGCGGTGGCGGGGTTACGGCGGTAACGGCTCTTGGGAGGTGGCGGGGTTACGGCGGTAACGGCTCTTGGGAGGTGGCGGGGATATGGCTGTAACTCCTCTTGGGTAGAAGCTGTCTCTGAGGTCTGTTCTGGTTTTGACTGAGCCATCAGTTTGATTGGAGTACGACAGAGGGAGAGTGGGGTAATGGTAACATACTGCTATGGTAACATAGCTCTAGATTACTGTGACTGCTGTGACTATTTTAGTTTACTTGTTCTCCAGAAATTCTTGTGAATGTGATTGGCCCAGGGAGTCAGGAGGATGGGCGAATGAAAGCTGGACGTGTCACACCGGGTGTCCTTGGGGCATAAGATAAGTGGCCATCATGGTGGTCACATCTCTTGCTGAAAGGACACTGGTACAGTGGTGCCTGTCTTTCCTATTCATGCTGCACTCATGTCCAGTAACACTGCTTGGTTGTCTTTGAAGCATAACCGTAGCAATGTGCCTTTTGAAGGTCTCTTATGAATGTAACAGGGTCACATGCTTGTGTGAAGTGTTATGTTGTCATGGTTCCTAACAGGTTATAACGGGTGTCTAACCAGTCTGGAAAATTGCCTTGGGGAGATTTGACAAGTAGGTATCTGTCAGTCTCAGAGTATTCAGTCACTCAATGAGTCTAACAAACGTGGTCTATAAAACTGAGCTTGAGGGTCATTTTTAGAATATCTGATTCTTTGACATTAGTTTGTGGTACTTCGTGGGTTTACTCAGCCAAGTGTATTGCCCGAGTCAGTGTCCTACAGATGTTTTGTTAATCTCTTTGTGAATTAACTATGCATAATGAGATCTGTTTAATCGGGTCCTGTGTGATAAACCATCTAATGCAGAAGTGTGTAGGTCATGCTAAACCGTTCCATTCTTTTTGAATACTGTGAGATTTCTTTGCTGACGTTAACACTCTGTCTGTCCTTCTGAAGTTCATCTGCTGCTCACAGGACTTTGGTTAAAAATCTGCTCTTAACTTACAAATCAGTTTGAGTTAAATCAGTCATGAAAAGTAACTTTTCTATTCCTGCTGTATGGAATCATTTGAGGATGTGCTAATGTGTTCTGTGATGCAATGTCAAGTGACAGGTTTTTCAAATGATACCACACTGGATTGGAGGTAATTAACGATTAATAATTCTCTAATAAACTTGCTTTCCCTGGTTGATTACTAGTTCAGCATCTAATTACAGGCACTGTCGTTGTTCATCAGCCGATGACTGCGCTGACAGAAATTTATACAATGTTTACTCTTCCTTTGGTAGGCTGATTGGATCCACTGGGGGTGGAGACAGGGAGCCGATGGCCAATCAGATTCTTGGTTTTATTAGTGGTTAATATTGTCAAAGGTCAGGTTAACCAAAAATGAAGATGTATTGCTCCTAGCATGTTTATGATTTTATTAAGAACCCATCTAGAACCAGGCTCTTCTTGGTTGATGGTTTGTCGTACTTTATTTAAGGAAGCACTTTAAGTTTAAGCTTTTATTTTAATTTCTTTTTGAGTTGTTGGTGAGATACCATGTGGTGCCTCCGGTGGAGACATTGATAAACAAGCCTCACATTTCACTGAAGTGTTCAGACCTCTATCAGCTAATCCTGTAAAACTTTTTTTTTTTTTGTAAGGAAGAATTTCTTTCTCCCAGGCAGGACACATCATTGTTTCTCTAATGGTGACTTTGCCCTGTATGAGAGCGAGAGCCAATCACAGTGAGTTTAGACGTTCCACACTCCCAGGGAGTGATGCGCCTAGGGGCGTGGAGGGGTGAGGCAGTCTGCGGGCAGGGTGTCCAGAGACCACATGACATGCGGCCTAGCGGCGTGGAGGGGTGAGGCAGTCTGCGGGCCAGGGTGTCCAGAGACCACATGACATGCGGCCTAGCGGCGTGGAGGGGTGAGGCAGTCTGCGGCCAGGGTGTCCAGAGACCACATGACATGCGGCCTAGTGGCGTGGAGGGGTGAGGCAGTCTGCGGCCAGGGTGTCCAGAGACCACATGACTCAATAGCATTATGCCTGAGGACTTTATTTTTGTTTCTGCAGGATTCCTGCTAAATGTATTCATCACCCGTACAACTGAGCAGCCCCCTCCTTTCCCCTGGGTGGGGGGAGAGACTGGGAACAGAGAGTGTACTGGCTGACAGCCGTGTGATTGGCATCTAGTAATTTGGAGGCTCCAGCAGTTCGGTCATTGAGGCGCTGAGGTAAGCTGACTAACTTCTGCTTAGTTTGATGTTAAGGGCCTGTGAACTGAAGGCTGTTGGTTTGATTATCAGGACGGGCCACACTGCTGTGACCTTGATAAAGGTACGTAATATGAATTATTCAGAAAATGCCTAAACTCTAAGTTATCTAGCTGTGATATGCATCAATAAGATAAACTGTTTTGTTCTCGCTGTGAGAGGATGTTGCAAATCGGAGCAACCTCTTGTTGGCCATGTAGTAGTTTCCTAGCTGCTGTAATTGCAGAAATCCGTGGTGAGACGTCACTGGCATATTGAAACTTTTGCTTTCCTCATGGAAGCAGCTTAGTTTTATTTTCTTGGGACATGGCTTCCTTACAGAAACTTGGAAGTGGTATCTTCTGTGTAAATGCCACAAATGAAGCAAATTCTGTAGCATCCGATGAATTGCCAAAAATATGCCAAGGTTCATAATTTTATTTATCTGCTTTAAACACCTTAATGTGAGTTTCTGCTGAACTGTGTTGGGTGTGTCTGATGTTCCAGTATCGGCATGAGTGCCACTCAAAGGTGTCTGATTTTCTCTGGCTAGAAGCTGCCAATCGTTGCTCAGACGACTTGAACGTGAGCGATGTGCAAGTAGCCATTTGTCAAGCAAAATGCTAACGGACTCCACCTCTATCAAACCTCTTCTAGGGTCATAAATAGCATACAGATGCCTGAGTCTGATTTAGGGACACAGATGCACCCAAAACATTTGCTTGTTATTTTTTACTTATAACCCCTAATGGATGGTCAACCATACCTGCAGTGCTGGGGGTTCGAATCCTGCCCCTGCGCTATGTATGTGGGCAAACCCATAAGACAGGGGCAGAACATGCAAACTGCAAAGATATGCAGATTAGTGATTTACAAATTTCATAATGCATGTTGGTTGCTTCCTTCCAGGGTTTCCGCTGCCTCATGTGCTGTGTTGCCTCGGATTGGCTCCAAACCCCCTGAGGCCGTCTGCTGGGTAAGTGGCTGGAGGATAGAGTATGACAAATATCTTCAGAAACCTCTTGTGTAATGAGTCTGATCTTTTGCTGGACATGTCAATCTGTGGCAGAGCCCATGGAGAAATGGAGAACCAAAGATCAGGGGCTGCTGTTGGACCTCTGGAGACACAGCTTGGGAACTGAAGTCACTGTGAGTAAAACGTAAAGGAAAATAATGCACCATCTTGCAGTGCTGGAATTTATTCTGGGGGGGAGGGGGGCAGGCTTTCTAGGCCATTCATAAGTGTGCTGTGCTCACAGCAGGGTAGTGATTATGGGAAAAGGTGATGTTGGTTGGGAGGGGCGAGGTATCAAACCCCCCCCCTCGGTCTTGCTGGGCTCCCGCTCCTAATTCAACTTGAGGCATAGTCCCCCCCTTGCCACTGCGGGGGCTGACACAGATCGATGGGTCACTGTCCGACGTTTAATTTCATATATTAAAATAGAAAAAATAAATCTGTAGGCTACTTTAAAATAATTAGATGTTTCTGCCTTGGTTAACAGCGAATTAGAAATGTTTGGATTAAGGTAGATGCATTAAACTAATTAGGCTTGAGGGATGATTCAGGACATTATGCAGTTTAATTGATTCACTTCCTCTCCACACAGGCAGAGCTGAGTGCCGGGATATCGCCGCTTACATGACGGAGCTGTGACGAGGTCACGTGATCTCGCGGCTTTACCACTCGTGTGATATGCCCTGATCCTGGTAATTTTCCTTAGGGAAAAACTCCCAGTTAAGTGGATGGATTCTGACAGAAATATAGGTAGAAATTCTGGGCCCCCTGACAAAGTGTCACCTGGGGGGGGCACTGCCACTAGGACTGCCACTTTCAATCGGAAGAAATGCGGGTCCCCCACGGTGAAACTTGCAGAACTGGGGTATTATGTTCCAAGCACATTATTTCATATCCAGCGGCCAATGTAAAGTGCAGGGCCCCCTGAATCTGCTGGGGGGGTGGTCCATGGCCCTCTGACGCCCCTGGATGTCGATGTGAGGCTGCAGCACAGGGTAGATGTCACCACGGTATATGCCATTGTGGACTTCAAGCAACTTAATCAGTTATTTCGGTCAATGTCGGGCCGTAAGGTCTGTGAAGGTAAATGGTAGGTATAAGCAGAGAGGTGTGTGATCATGCTTGTTTAGAGCTTGTGGTGTATTGTGTTATACAAGATTTTAATTTTTTATCATTATTTAATTATTATTATTTTTTAATTATTGCAGTATCGGTCAATAAACACTTCCTATGTAACCACAAGGGGGAGACAAAATTCCAAACCACCAGGTTTTAAAACAAGCTTCTTCGCCTTTTACAATTGGTTGCACATCACTGGTGCACTAGTATTGAGTAGATTAGTGTAGTGATGGTGATGTAGCACTGCAACGGGGTGTGTGTGCGTTCGCCCCCCCCCCCCACCCCTCCGGATGATACCTCGGTATATGTTGCTTATCGGTCTTGGCAATCAATCTGTCGATCGTGTTTCACCAGCTGGTGGCCACTGGGTTAGTGATGCTCTATCTTATCAATGTTTAGTAACGTTCCAGAAAGTATTTTCAGTAAACGTCATATTTAAACTCAGATTCCCATTGGCAACAGTTGTGACTCTTGGGATAATGGAAACCTTTCATTTACAGACCTGCACAAGAGTGTTGGCAGTTGAGCAGGAAACCTACCTCCTTTAGCCAAAGCTTGGTCAGATGAGAGTGTGTAGCACTGGGCTCTGGGCACCTGCCCGTAAGTGACCCTGTTTGCTGCCTGTCGTCAGGAACTTGTACCCCTTGTGGGGGGGTGCTGATGCCACCCTGTAATCAGGTACTCCAGACTGGCCACATGGCATAAATGAATCGGATACTTAGGCAAATTACCTCACCCATTCCAAACTGCCTTGGGGTCAGGAGCAGAGGGGGGTGAGGCTGGGGTTGGAGATGCAGAGTCTAGTTTGTCACCTTTCAGAATAAAATGTTTTTAATGCTGCTTAATGCACTGTGCTGTTATACCTGTAACCTCCTGTTTTAAAAGGATTCACAAGACTAAGAGTCTAACAGTGAGATTTTCTGCTCTGCTCTGAGCTTTCAGCGCGGATTCTGATCTTAGTCCTGATAGGTTCCTCTAGTAGTGCTGAAACCTCAGCCTGCCTCACTTTTACTCCAGTAAGTAGTTTTTCAAACGAGTTGGCAGCTGGCCAATCAGACTGCTCCCCTGCCCTTTTTCAGCCGAAACGGGGAGTGACGTGTTCGTCATGCGAGGACTTGGTTCCCCCTCAGCAGTGCCATCTTTGGACACTCATAGCCTGGGATTTCCCTCACCTCAGTATCGATCCCCGTCAGCACATAGACCCAGGGCTGAGCCTGAGGTTGATCCCCTGTCAATCATTCAGCTCTCACTGGTCCATGAGTACGGATTCTCATGCTCTGCACCTTGGACCTCAAAGCAAGTTACTGGCTGTGCGTGCGTGTGCGTGAAATAGTGAGGATGAGTTTCTAAAATGAGGAACTGAGTGTTGTCTTCTATTTTCAAAATGAAGGCAAATTCTGTGCCCAAAATGTGAACAAGATGAGCTGAATTGAATATTCCTGAAGGTGCGTATTAAATCTTACCTGTAGCTGTAGAATACCGTATGGTTTGTCTGTAGTCTCTTGTAAATGCTCTGTACCTGATTTTATGCTGTTCCAGGTGCACTGAGGAGTAGTGAGAGTCATACCAGCTGAATGCAGGACGGTGCACTTAGAGCTAACTCACAGATGGCTGCTCCATGCGCAGTTACCTAGCCAGGAGTTCTAGCTTGTTAATACACTGGTCGTCAGGTTCAGCTCCAGAGGCTCCCTTTAGTTGTGTGGCCGGCACATCCCTGCAGTAGCGTTTCCGACGCCGTGCAAGACCGAGGAGCCAGAGAGGTGGCAGCTGGATACGCCAGCTGGACGCTGATGTTCGATACGTGTCGGGTGTGAGCCTTTGTGTCCACAGTCAGATACCAGTGACACGCAAACCGCTGTGCGGAAGTGAACACGCAGCCGATCAAACATCTGCCCACCCACGGCACATCCTGTAAAACAGTGTTGAGTTTTTTTGGGTGGGGGAAATAACAGGGAATTTTTTAAATCACTGGTACCCAAATTGCTTTAGTGTATGTATGTTTTATTACATGAACAACATTCCAACAGAGGGCTACAGGGTACAGGGCACATTCACCCAACCGCACCCCTTTATTGCCCAAAAGGCAGTGTGGCACCAGTCTGTTCCAGATTGTCCTTTTAACATCACTGACGGAATTGGGTTTCTGGTGGGAGGCTCAGCAGTACTGGTGGCCATCGGTTGTGGAATTTCATACAGCGAGCTGGGGGAGCGATGAGAGTCAGCAGATCCCTGGGCAAAGAGGAGAGAAGTACGATTCATCTACTGCAGTGGAGCTATGTAATTTACACTCGACCTCCCTATCGGTCCCCCCTCCCAAACAGGCCATGGAGGGTGAGCTTGTCTCCAGGACCACTGGGAGCCCCTGATCAGCCTGCCACACTTCAGCACAGACGAACCCCCCCCCCGCCACCAGCAGGCTTGGCTCACTTACCCTTCTGGGGCACCTGCACTGCCAGCTGAACCCAGCTTGGGCCATTTACAGTCAGCTCAAACGGCTCCTGTAGAGAGGCGGGGAAAGGCCTGCACTGCTGAGAGGATAAGAGTCACAAACGTATAACTTCATGGCCTTGTAAGTTCCTCCAAGGACCCCCCTCCCAGCTTATTTTTAAAAATAAGCACCCAAGGAGAGAGCCTTGCCATTTAAAGTCATTAATGCCCATGAAAAGTAGGAGATGCCAAACGCCCCCCTCCAAAGATACGTGTGACGTTGAATCAGGCGGTCTTCCTGCCAATGCCCCCCCCCCTGAGTGAATAATCATCGCTGTTTGCACCTCTTAGGGCTGATTTATACTTGACACTCATACGTGTACGCATAATGGCCGCCACGCGTGCACCTACGCGAGGAGTTAACACGATGCGTACGTGAGATGCAGTATCACCAAAAAATTGGGGTGGCAGTACGCTCACCTTTTGTCATGGGACTATGTGTTTATATTCGGTAGTTAGTATTAAAGTAACATCTGTTTTGTTAAGAATGAGCGGCCGGAAGCGCTGCATATTTTCAGAGGCATGAGAGAAAATATTCTGAGCACCATTGTGTGCCTCCGTGTACAACGTCTTCAAAATTTAATGGCAGTTTGAGTTTCTAAGGAAGCAGTGTCGTGTATGAAGTACAATGAAACTGTAACTTGAAATTCTGACGTGCCTACTTTCATAAGCATGCATTTCCAATATTTATAAATGTTGGGTTTTATGTTTTGCTAGAACATTTATATTGGCATAGGAAACAAAACTTAGCAAGCTGAGTTTAAAATTCACCGCCGCTACTTTTGCATGAGCTCTGGATGCGCTGCACGCCATTCCTAATCATTTTCATCCTTACTGTTTAAATCACTTATAAATTGATGTTTGTGGGAAATTGATTATTTTTAACTTTTTTCTTTATAAATACTGCAATACTTACAGAAATTATTTTCTGGTGTCCTGCAGCCGAATTACGAAATACTAACTAGTACGAGGTATCTAACGACATGTAATGCGACATTCAACATGCGGTGGTAAAGTAATATGTGGCAGTGGAGCAGTGGTTAGAATACAGAGAATGCTGCAGCAATATAAAAAAATTAGCAACGCGATCGCGGTGGAGAGAGTGAGCGTGCATCATTTCATGTCACAACCTCGTGCGAAAAGTCGATCAAGATGGTTTTCTCGCATTGCCCCCTGGTGGTCATGTCCTTTAATCCTCCAGATAGACGTAAACTACATGTGCAAGTACAGTCAGTATGCTGCTTGCCTTGTGCCTCCTTGCATGAAGTAGCCCCCTCCAAGTGTTCAGGGGCCATCAGTCACCCTCTGGGAGCATGTGGGGGTCCTGGCTGAATATCAAATCTCAGCTATCGCCTCCACACTGACAAAGACTGGGGCGGCTGGGCTTTTGCCACCCACCTTAAGCTCTGTGACTACTGCCCATGTCAGGAAGAACATACAATGTAAGAAAAGAAAAATGCCATTAGGGGAGGATGGAGGATTAAACAAAAGCAAAACAAAAACAAAAAAATGAAAAGAAAACTGCTGACTTAAAATTTCAATATGGCTGCTGCTTGGGACGGCTCCTGTGAGGCGATGCGCTCCTTAGTGACGGGAGGCGTACAGATGAGGCGATGCGCTCCTTACTGACGGGAGGCGTTCAGATGAGCCATCGATCTGCCTTCTCATGCGCAGTGAGGTCACCCAGCTGCCGTTCCTCTCGAGCCCCGGATCAGCATCACCGAGGCGGCCTGATGCCACTGCTTTGGAAGTGATTATCTGTGGGGACAAGTGAAATAAAGGGAGAATGAGTGATCGGATGGGCCTGAAGGATCCTAGAGGCCGGTCACGATGCGGCCCTGCAGGTCCAGACTGATCCGTCCCTGACGAGATGAAGCCCAAGATATACTCAGCCCACGAGATGAGATGAGACACGATATTGGGTTCAGGAGAACGAGACAAGACGATATTTTAACAATATTTTAAGGAAAACTTCAAAGAGGAAATATATTACTGGAAAGCAGCCTTTTATTTGATTAATTTGAAAGACATGCTAAATAATGCAGATGTATGGTGAAATATGTTAAATAATCACCATCATCAGAACAGAAGAAATATCTAGCACTATAAAATATTTCACCACAAACTCAAATGACAGGCTTCTCTCCTATTTGACTTCCCAATTGAACATAAAATAGAATATAAATATAAAATAATATAAATTAAAAAATATAACTTTTTTTTTTAATGTTTTCTTCACCGGTGCAGTGGATTTAAGTAAAGAGCTCTGACGGTGCTGCAAATAGCTTTGCATAGTAGTAGCGTTAGTCGCTGTGTACGGCATTATTTTCCTACAGTGCTTTGTCTGTCACCCTTTCGCCATTTATATTTTCCGCCGGGTCCCCAAAATGCTGCCTCGCAAAAGATTTAAAAGTGTCTGGGGCATCTACTATGGTAAGTTTGTCAGATGCCGACATGCTTACAGCAGGTGATTTGCAGTGCCTTCGCGAGATCGCTTTTCACTACGTGACACGAGATCTCGTTACACCCCTGGTTTTCACACTAATCCTTCATATTCTAAGGCAGGGTTATTCAAATCATGGTCCTTGAGGTCTGAGCCCTGCTGGTTTTCCAGCCTTCCTTCACCTGTGAGCCAGGTGTGAAACCTCTGACCAATCAGAATCAGTAATTATTAAACTAACTACCTGGGAGAACTGAAAACAAGGCCTGGATTCGGAATCGAGGGCCTTAATTGAACAACCCTGTTCTAAGGTTTAGGAATGAAAAGTCAGGAGTGCTTGTGATCACAAGTATGTGTTCCTTGCTACTGTTTCCTTTTTGGGGGGGGGGTGGTTTCAAAAATATATTGTATAGTGATGGAAAGGTTATGCATTCACACCAAAGCCCATGCTTAACGTCCATTGCTGTGTAAAAAGTCTGCTATATAAAGAATCTCATCATAGGCAATCTCGAGCTCGTTTGGTGAACACAGGATAAGGTCAAACTCAGTTCTGTTCCTAAGTACCCAATTAAAATATCAACAATATTTTTTTTACTTCTCTCAAAGCCAAGCTGTATGGTAGGTGATTTCAGCCAGCACCTCACATTTACTTGTCCGCTCACGGACTGCTCATCCACGCCCATTTGAAATAATACTGGAAACCACATTTGGCTTACTGAATTTTTATGCGGACTTCCTAACGACACGCTATAAACCACTGAAGAACAGGCAGCAGGCAGGCGACTACAGGGCTGGAGCATTTTGGCACGGACGCCGAGTAATGGGTACTTAACGGGCCGGGGCATTCCGGCACGGACACCACGCGGTGGGTACGTAACGGGGCCTGGCGTTTGGGCACGCATGCTGGGTGGTGGGTCTGGGGAATTCACATATGCCGGGTAATGGGTACGTAACGGGGACGGGTTATTTGCAAAGGTAGGGATGATGTTGGAAGTTTTCATTTATACTTACCTGCTGTGGCCTATGGTGGGACAAGATGAACCTCCTAAGAGCTTGAAAAGTCTTTCTGTATGAACAAGGGAAATAAAAACAAAAATATTACAATGGGGGAAATATTAGAAACTTAAAATGCAGACTTGATTCCCCAAGACGCACCCCAAAGATTAGGAAGCTATCAGCGCTCCCCCCAGTACTGCTCGGCTGATTTTCTCACATTGCACAGGGCCCCTCTAAGTCTGTACAGTTCAGGGACGATTCCCTCGTCAATCTGGGCTGCTAGACAGCACCGCAGACATACAATTAAAATACGTAAAGCCCTCTCACAGACAACACGTAGCTGCTCGTTACGGCTGCATGACTGATGGGGGGGGGGGCTCAGTCTGCGTGTGCATTAACCTTGTACAGTTAGGCATGTTCTTGGCCAAAAATGATGAGAAGGTTTTTTTTTTGGGGGAGGGGGGGGATAAAAATATTTTGGACTCAATTAACATTTTGTTACCAAGGAAACCACTATATCACAATATTACAAGTAATGCATCCGTCGTGTTTTTGGAAGAAAAATAATAACTGCGGTTAAACATTTAGGAGATACAGAGAAATACTGTGTATTCATGGTAAAACCGCTTGGCTGAACCTGAACGTGAAACATGTGGTTAGAATAGAAATGAGGCTGCTAAACAGCTTTGTTACGGCACCACTCCTGCACCTGCTCATTTATTAAAAGGGAACCTCAAATAATTTACAGCAATAAGACTCCAACTGCTGTACATCACCTTCTAAATAATCAGATTTTAATTTTTAAGGGCTAAACATAAAATGCTGAGAAGGTGATGGACTTTCATGTAAACGAGTGTGAAAAAGAGGGGAAAAAGAGGGAGCAATGCAATTGCAGCTGTCAGGTAAAACCAGCCACTGGGCAGTTTAGCTCACTGGGATTAACAAAAGGGAAGTGGGGTCATCGTGCAAGTTGTAGGTAGAAGGTCGTGACAGACCACAGAAGGGGGGGGGGTGTCCACACAAGGCCTGGGCTGCAAAGTCACAGTCTCCAATGATCACTTTTGTGACTATGCAACTGGGCGCATATTACTAGCTGCAATATCACAAAAATGACACTGGCAACTGCTGATTAGCAGGCCAAAAAAAAAACAAACAAAAAAAGGAGGGAAAGGAAAAAGTGAGCTGGCAGGCTCCCTCGGCTGTGGCTGGTGTCGGTAAACACGGTGTGTACGGCGCGAGCTGAGGATGCGGGTCGCGCTCTAAACGGTGTCACGTCCCGCTCTAATCAACCGCTAGCTTGGCGGTCTCTCTTTATAGACGAATGTTGTTGTGCTGCCTCGGAAAACCAGCTGATTAGATGCATCGACATGAAAATCGGAGGAGAAATGGCTCTCCGGAAGCCGGTGATCCTCGTGTGCGTCTGGGTGTCGGGGTGTGGGGGGACTGGGTGACACATAGTGCTAAAGTCAACAACCAAACAGGAATAAGAGGAAAAAATACGACGGAGAAGAGGAGCAGAGGGTACTTTAAGCTGCTCAGAGCCAAAGAGGAGCAGAGGGTACTGCTCAGAGCCAAAGAGGAGCAGGCCCCTCCCCCATACCCCTGAGCTCCAAGGCCTCCTTACGCATGCTCCTCATCATCACCCAGGAGCACATGCACATCCCCGGCGATTCATCTGTCAGGGGTGGCCTCCTCACAAGGACAGCCCTCAAAGAGCTCGCCGTCCGTTGGACGCGCGTATGAATGACAGACGGCCAAGTTTGTCACCGTGTTTTCAACTTTTTTTTTCCAGCTTAAATGAAAGGAAAATATTGAGCGGGGGTGGCTGAAAACTCATTCATTTGGTTTTCAAAATAATGGCAGGGGGCTGGAATAGCTTTGTTAACTACATGCCATGTTTAATTTTGGAAAAAAATTATTTGAATTTACTTCCACTCAATTTTCCCAGAAGGCCCACTGTAGCCTTTGGACAAGCGTGCACCAAAACGAACCCTCCCCCCTCCCCCTGAGGGTCTGCTCTACCTTTGCATCACAGAGAGTTTGCATGAAGGAGCGTTTTATTTCTAATTAGATGCCTGTGTTAAGGGCTGTCTAGCAGCGCGGACAGTTAATTTGCTCTGTAGTCTGACAGGGATGAGAGTCGGGAGGGGAGGATTTTTAGCAGCCCCAGGGCTCATTAAACACACATAGACAGACAGACACACACATACACATACACACAAAGGCAGACAGACAGACACACATACACACACACAGACAGACAGACACACATACACCCACATAGACAGACAGACAGACACACATACACCCACATAGACAGACAGACACACATACACACACATAGACAGACAGACAGATACACACACATACACACACATAGACAGACAGACATATACACACACATAGACAGACAGACACACATAGACAGACAGACACACATACACACATAGACAGAGACACACACACAGACACACAAACACGCATACACAGACAGACAGACACACATACACAGACACACATCCCATTTGTCAAATGAAAAAACACACCAATGGACAACCTGATCCGTAAGAAGCTCAAACCCAACACACTGGTGGCCTCACAAAACAACAGCTAGCACCCTTACTGGTGGAATTGTAGGTGGGTTCCGGAACTTTCCGACATGTTCTGGTTGAACTGCAGCGCTAAGTAATAGCGCCTGTTCCATTGGTCCGCAGGTGGGTTTGTGTAGCAGCTCTGCAGCAGTCCTCGCAGCAAACGTACCCCAGAGAGGTCTGTCTTGGAGGACGTCCTGCTGCCCGGATTCTCCAGCAGAGCTGTGACCATCGCAACATTGCCTCCTGCAGGGATGGGGGGAGAGAGACGAGCTGCTCTTAGGGCATTCATTCCCCACGGCTGTGTGGGATGCAGCTAGCGGGCAAAGGTAACACAATGGGGAGGCAACCATAGAGATTTTAAACCATCCTGGAATGCAGACACATTTAAATGCCATCAGAAACATATTAACTAACGAATAAACAAATAATCAATAAAAAGTCAAGTCACTGTCCACGAGACTCTTCCGGAAATTTCACTTCTTTCTACCCGTACATCCTCCCTCCCCATGACAGTTCCCACCCAGGTGGCACTGAACCCATTGTTCCCTCAGCAAAATTCCCGCAACGCCCCAGTCCATTTAATCCCCAAACTGCGCGTGGCGCATGGGGGAGGCGGTGGCCCGCTGAGGTCGTTACCGAAATGAAGAATAATACTCGCTTTACGACGGCAATAAAAACGCAATGGCCTTCGCCATAAACTAATCATGTCGGCTCTTAGGACTCTATCTAGCGGGAAAATTACGGGCGGCGCGTGTCGTGAGTGGAGTGGAACGTGGACGCCGACGAGAGTAACAGAGCCTGCCTGTACTGCCGCCTCACGGATCCTAGATCCAAAAATGGGGGAAAATAGGTAACTGAATGTTCCTGGGAGACGGCATAATTAAATGGAACTTCGACAAATGTTTCGCCGAAATAATTTCCTTAATGTATTTTTACTTCTGACAGTTTTTTTTTTTAAACATGATCACAGTGTGTGATTAATAGCCTCTTTATAAACTGACCACTTTCAGTACTATCACTCTAACACGTTGAAAAGTGTGCTGATCGTTCCCACTGATGTCTAACCCCACAGCATCCGCCTAACATGGACACAGACATCGTCCATTTCCCATGCGGAAAAACAAGGACACCGTCAAAATAAAAGTTCTATACCTTATTAAGTGAGAAACTTTTTTAAGCACCTTTAATTTATTGTTGTTTGACCAACACTTAACGCAACTGACGATCATTATAAAATACCACGGTTCGCCCCGATTGTTTTTGATTGCAGTCGAAGGCTTTTTCATATTGAAATGAATGTAAAAATGTAATACTGTAATTAAACGCTGAAAGGGGACCACACAGTCAGTGTATGAGAATAAAAAGGTGGGGGGAACAAGAGAAGGGATGGAGGATGATGTAATGCTGTGTGTGTTGGGGGGGGTGGTGTATCACAGAAGCCTTCCCAGAATGCAACAGATGCCTGGCGGTGGTGGAGACGGGCTTTGCGGTGGATCGTCCTTACATCCTTTAAAAACATCCCTCCCCTCGATGAATTTCGGAAGCCTGCACTGATAATGTGCGATACAGAGATCATCTGTCCACGTTTCCATTATTCAACGTTAAAACATTCATACGCACAGCCTTGGAATGAACTCCCTTTTGTTTCCAGCAGACAATGCATTCATTGCCTAGAAATCCAAAGCAATCGGCCCAAATGACCATCCAGGTCCGGCATGCAGGACTGAAGCAGTGAGCGAATCCACAGCGAATTTGAAAGTATGACGGCTTATAAATCAGACCGAATGAAGCAAAATGGGCGCTGATAGGCGTGGTTAAGTCATGTGACCCCCTTTCAGTTAAACACCCCCCCCAACTGTGGCCCTTCTTACATGCAGCTTCAAACCGGCTTTGTTCCAATTTCCTTTGACTCAAACGGCCACTGTCGTACATTTCAACAAGACGCCAAGGCTCCTCCTCCAACCCAAACTCCTGAAAAACTCACCAAGGACAAAGGTTGTGGAGAGTCCCCTGAAGCGTTCTTTGTGTCCCTTTGTATTGATTTCAAAGGGAAAGCTGACAAGAAGGTCCCATGTTGGCATTTACACTGGACCCCTAACAACTTGGAAGGGGTCATGAACAGCTGTCAATCAAGAACGTCATGTGACTTAACGGCAGTCCGAGAATCCTTCTGTAATACAGGCACTATGGATTTAAATGTTTACACAGGTACACGAGATTCACACTCACCAGTGCGACTGTAAATATACTTTACATATCGGTATTCAGTGGTCCTAACTGAGCTGTTAGCACCTGGGCAAAAGGTTGGCATTAAAACGAGCAGCTCTCCTCAAACTCTCTCAGAAGATGCATTTTGAGTGTGTCCAAGGAGCTGTAAAGACTGGCTACCCACCTCACAATCGCTCACCCCGATTCTTGGGTCGCTCATTGCAACAGACGCTTCTGTCCAAAGCATCCAAAGTGAGGAAAGCGTGGGGTCGGGCAGCAGGGTCTGCCATCACCCAGCACTGCTGAAGCACTTGCGGTTTAGGGCTTTTCTTAAGGGCCCAACAGTAACAGGATCATTTCAAACTCACAACCTACTGGGCACAGACCGTTCCCTAATGCATGGAGGTACACAGTACCCCCAACTGATGAGCTTTCACTGTAGTTGTGTTTCAGACTCCTCAAACCACATATGGCTCACAGGTTTTCACAGCTGGGTGCATGAAAGACAGGGGCTCCCGGCCACTAATATGAGACAGGGGCCCCCGGCCACTAATATGAGACAGGGGCCCCCGGCCACTAATATGAGACAGGGGCCCCACCCAGGAGTAACACCAGCATTCTTTTTTCTCCTTGATGAATAAGTCAGGAGGAGATACCTTGGTGAAAAGGCACATGACTGGCATGGTGAATGCCACATGGTGCATGCTGGGAAATCCCCCAAACCCTAAAAGTCCAGTCATCCAATTGCTTCACAGCAGCCTTAGGGCAAATGTGACCATCTGAGAGGTAATGCTGTGAATGGATGTCAGGCGATCGGCTGCATCTCCTTGACGACCAGATTTTCCTGGGGCCATGCAGTGAATCATCACCATCAAAAGGTGGCAGTTGGGGATCCTTCCCGTCGGGAGTCAAACAAGTGAAGCGCCGCTTCACCTTCCCTTCCATTACTTCAGCGAGCTGCTTTCTTCATTTGCGTCGTGAGGAAGTGGAATTCTAATAAGCTGTGAGACAGACCCTGGGATCCGAACAGGGTTAACGAGATTGAGAATTACAGTGCTCAGAAGCTGGCCGGCCGGCCCGCAGTGCGCTTGCTGCGTGGGTACGTCCAATCAGCCCCCTGCCACATGTGGCAGGCTGGCGACACAGAGGACACTTGCATGCTCACGCAGGGCCACCACGCACACGATTAACCAAGCGAGGGACTGGTCAAGGTACTGGAAAAATGTTAACAACCATTTGTAGTGTTAGGCTGACCTGTGCAGCAGGGGCCACAGTGATTAAGGGCTCAGACTCGCATACAGATGATCGCTGGCTGAATCCCCCAAACCGACTCTACTTTCAGTCTGTACTGTAGGTTTGGTTTATATATTACCAGATAAAATGGTGCCAGGCTGTAGGAGGAGAAAAAAAATGACCTGTTTTGAAGGGTAACAAATTACCGTCGCCAGTCTCGTGACGCATAGATCCATTAGGGTTTGAGTTGGTGGTTCTGTTTTACGGGCAGCAGAGCAACACCAAGTGCAGCGCAGAAAGTGAATGACATTTATACTTATTACAATGTAAATGGACGCCATTGTTCAGAAACACTAATTATTGCCCAAACCAATTCAACTCAAGGCAATTATAAGGGAGAGACAGATAAATCATTGGCTTGTGCACATAAAATTGCCTTTAATAGTCCCCCCTTTCTTTAATGAACTGAAATATTAAAAAGCTTAAATTAGCTCTGGCTTAGACAGAAGATTAGCCGAGAGTTAAAAGGTGTAATCGCTTTCGGGAGCAGCAGTGGGCACGCGGTCGCCCGGGCTGGCGGCTAAGTCTGCCAACCCACGGGGACGGCCCACAATTGATAAACAGGAGCAAAGCCTGATGGGAGTTATTACTGCCGCTCAATGCGCCTCTTCAACCGGCTTGATAAAGCCCCAGGGCCACACTCAAGGTCACGCTTCTGTACTTTTGCCCCTCCCCGGGGGGGTGCTGCTTTTTCCTCAGGGACGCTGGTGGTGGGGGCTAGCCTGTAGCCACTATCCTGTGGCGTAGAATGGCTCAAGGACGCAGGCAGCAAGGATGCAAATGATCAAGAATCGCTCTGTGAATACCGAGAATGCAGCAGGGCTGCAGAAGTGGTCAGGGCTTTACACAGCCGGGGCTCAAAGAGTAACGATAATAACGGAAGTTTTCTGAACAGTGGTGGCCCGGAATCTCCGGAGCTCGGAATTCTGCAGCTGGACCTGGCTGAGGATCCCCCGCAGAGGGAGTTGATTTCATCCCGGCGACACTGAAATCATCATAAAACGCTTCTCGGCAGAGCCGGGCTGCAAGAAGGAGAGCAGTATGGATAGTTACACAAGTCCTGCGGATAAAGATGGCCTCCGGTGCGATACGCACAGCCCACGGGGGTGAATCACACAAGCGAATGTGTCTAACTTCAACCTCTTCCCGGCTTAATTCTGCTCATTTATCTGCATGCTGGGTAATGCCATCAACGGTGACTCTACACAGATTCAAACAGAGTAATACTATAATAACTGGGGGCTAAAATTACTCTCTCCTGAGATTTGAGCTTGAAGTCTTTTGGTCAAAAGCACTGGTCACTTGACCATCAAGCCACTGGTTGAGCCTCATCGACAAGTTCCAATGTAATGACAAGTTGATGGCTGAGGTAGGTACTTCTGCAGGAAGCTAAGCCTGATCCCGCTGGCTGGTTTGGAGATCTGATGACTAGGTCACTAGCAATATGCTACTGCAAGAAGATTTCACAGAGAAGAGTCACGTATTTCACCAAAGCTTCATGACCTTACGAAAGACCACTCTGTCTGATGCCTACGCAGTCAAGCATCAGCCTGAGCCCAACACACCTGACCTAGTGTTCCAGAAAGCAGCAAGCACAGCCCATCTCTGAGCTATCCTTCCCCCCAGATCTGCCTCTCTCCAGCCCCCAATCCTCTGACACAGAAAGTGGAGGCGTCCTTCACACAACCCCCCCCCCCCCCGACCCCCAAAAATTCAGGGGGGAGGGCTGGGGAGAGACTATT